GTAAATGAAAGTGTTAGATTTTTTTTTTTAATTTTTTCTTATATTCTAAAAAGACCATTTTCACCTTAGTTTCATATTGGAGAACGCAATTGGTTTTGCTAGTGCTAAAATACTCAAAATTTTGTTCGTTCCTATAGCATAGTTTTTTATGAGGAAAACATCAAAATCTTCATCAAATGACCATATAATTGTAATTATTCCTATTGGTCATAATTAAATGTGCTTCCTTCTGTTTTGTTTCCAATATATAAAAACACAAACATAAATACTAAGAAGAATTTAGGTAAACAATTGAAAATATGATGCTTAACAAATTTGCTAAAATAATAAGAATCAAATGTCGTTTATCTATTAAAGGTAGACAACTAAATAGGTAGGTAATCTCATTATAACATGTATATTTTTACTCTCTTATTTTGCTATGCTATCGAGATGGTGGATAATCAATTTCTATGAAAAAAAAAAAGCATTGGATGAAAAAAAAAAAATGGATTAAGAGAGGGTATAACTTTAGGGGGAGGGTTCGATTGGGTGATACGGGAGGAGGGAGTGTAAGTGAGAGGTCTCGGGTTCGAGTCTTCCTACTTATGCTAAAAGAAAAAAAAAAGAAAGAGGGGGTATAACTTTCAAAAAGGCCAAAAAAAAAAAGAAAAAAAGAATAAAAATCTCCCACAAGGAAAAAGAAATTAAAAAAAAATGAAGACAAGAGACTTGAGTATTCAGCTAACCGGGGCACGCCCTCTGGTCTCCAACTGTCCATTAACTGAATAAGCCCGTGTTTGGCTTTTCTCAAAAGGAAACTTGGGTATTCTGCCAAGAAATCTTCTGCAATCGCGAAAATGGCAGAAGGTAAATCATCACAAGAAGCACCTTCTCCTCCTGCTGATGCTCAGCTCTTTGGTCTCCTGTCCAGTCTCCTCCAACAGGTATCTGCATTCTACACGGAACTTGGAATTAATATTTTCTTGGGATTTAAAGATTCCTTATCTGAGTTCAGGTAGATAGATTTCTTTATGGGATTTTTTTGGTCAACGTCAATTTTAAGTTCTTTTATTGGTTTTTCTTGATTGCTTGATTCTGGATTTTTCTGAATAGGCTCTGTTATCATTTTTCCTTTTTCCTTTTCTGTTTGTGTAATCAAGATTTTTTCGTTTTTGTACGTCTTGGATGTATATTCTTTTTCCGAGCTTTTAGGAGGGGAGGAGAAGGGAGGAAATGAGACATTGAGGATTGAATCCTGCATGTAAGTCGAATAACTTAAAAGAAGGAGATGATGTGTTTGGTTCCTTGAGAGAATTTCAGTTGATGTGAAAATGGAAAAGTATTTTGTAGGAAAATAGGGCCTATCATACTTGGAACTGGAATTTGAATTGTATACTACAAAATTTTAGCTCAATTTTAGTAGAATGTGAATCCAATTCCAGCTCCAATTCTAATTTGATTCTTAGCTGCCCTTGTTGGTTGAAATCCCTTCAACTGGTGATGTAGATAGTTAGTATAGTGCTTTATTAAGTTCTTCCTTGAGAAAAGGGATAAAAATAAGTTCTTGATTCATTTAAGATGACTATTAGTCTTTTAAACACAGCTCATCCAAAACAGAAGAAATTTTCTGAATAAATTCCCCGTGTCACCTTATGCTCCCATTCATGCTTTGAATTTGGAGTGCTGTCCAAAGACTCAGTTAGGAATGGATTTATGGGCATGATTTTTGAAATTATCACGTCTGTAGTTTTTCACTATGGAGGAAAGTGTGTTTGATGCCTCTCTAGCCATATGTTGTATACCCACACAAGTGTTTCTTTTTACATCTCCAACACTGCCATTGATCCAAAGTCTATCAGTAAGTTTCTGGTTAGATATGTAACTTGTATAAAACTACTGTATAGAAAGAATATTTGAAGAACGAGTTACTATGTTCTCTAGTCTCTACATTTTAACAAGGCACACAAATTAGAAGTGGGAACTAGCACTGGTTTCTTCATTCTATTTTTGCTTCCTCAGCACTCAATTTTCTGATACAGACAAGACCAAGATTGAAAATGATATTGAGCAATCAACCAAAGTAGGTGCACCTAGGGAGGTTAGATCTCTAAGTACTTATTTTGTCAAGTGATGTTGAAGGGGTTCACCTTTCTTACAAATGTCATCTTTTATGGGTGTCTTTCTGATCGAGTAGAACAGTTTAGGAATCCTGTAGGCCAGCAAGGTAACAGTGAGTTTGTTTGCATATTCTATTTGATGGGAAGGTATTAGCAGCCCTTTCGTTGGTAATCTACATGTAAAATGGTAAACGAAAGAACATGTGTTGATTTGTTGCATTGCTGGATGGATATCTGTAGTGTGCCTCACGTTGAGAAATGCTGTTTTGGTGGCTAGATTTCTCTCGAGCTTAAGGAGCAATTTTTGCAATTCACGTATTACTTGACTCTCCCATTACTGGAGTTTGCAGAGTCTGTTTTATTGTTGTAGTAAGCTTAATGGGGACACATTTTGGGGAACGTATACATTGTTGAGATGGTCTTTTAAGTGAAAGGAAAAGAAGCAAAGCTTGACAGCAGCTGCACTTTTCTATTTAACTTAGGGAGCTATACTTCACAAAGGACTGGGAGGTAATAGCTTGGTTCAGATTGTGCTCTTGTTGAATTATTGGGACTGATAGAGAAAGAAGCGATATCCTGCAAAGCACTTAGCTATTTCTGCCCTTTCATACTATACGTTGTCTTTTTCTGCACATACTGCATCCAGCTTAGCCTTCAACATTTTTTACTTTAGCACTTCTTCTGCTGCTTGGCAATTCGGGTAAACACTTGACATTTCCAAATATGAATATGCTTAATAGTACTTATTTTCAGATTGGTTATTGGGTGCTACCAGGTTTGAGTAGCACTTTGGACTTTAAGGTCTAAAATCTCCAATTTGGTGAAGGAGGGTACTGAGATATAAATATTTGTAATTGCCATTGCTGTAATTATTAACGGATTCAAAGGTATATGTTGTAGTGAAGATTGAAGAGGCATTATGTTCCTATCTGCAGGTTCAGGGTTTTATGTGCAAAAGTTTAAACCAAGAACTTCTTTTTTGTGGGGTATACATAGGTTTTCAGTCACAAGTATATAGAAATTTAAAATGTTATCGATTGTTTTACTGTCCATCCATGACCTGCATAGCTTTGATACCTTAACCAAAATTCACTTCTTTATTGGAGTAAGGTAGGAATTATTTTATTATTAAATTGGTTTGAATGAAAGTATGAGCCCAAAATTCTTACCTTTAAAGCCATTTTGCATCTTAGAAATGGTTCCTTTGGGTTACTAAAGTGATTTAATGACCATCCAACAACCCCATCCCCATCTGAGGGAAGGTTATAAATATGAAAAGAAGCTGGTCTATTGCTTCATCTTGACAAGAAGAAGAGAGAGATTGGGAGGGAAGTGAGGTGCAACCCATTATTGCTGGCTAAAATATCTGATTAAGAGTCCTGCTATGGATTGCCACCATTTTTTTTTCTCCTCTTGTAGCTCATGATTAGCTTCCCAGCTCTTTGAGAAGTTCTTAACCAAGGGTGTATACCATAATAAACCTTTTCTTCTGTGTAGGATGTGTTTGAGAACAACTTTTTAGGAAGGATAAAACCATACATAAGTAAAAATTGCTTCAACAAATTTTACTAACTCATGACTCAAATTCAGATGCAGCATACTAAGATGCCTTTGACTGTTATTGGGTCATAATCTCTTCCTGCCTAATTTGTTTCTTGACATTTCGGTTGGTAAACTGTGTTAGCACAGTTTATTTGTGAGTTGGGCACTTCTCTTTTGGTATTGGGGATTCAGCTGAGATGTATTCTGTTCTGTCTAAGACCATTAATGACAAACTTTTACAGGTTGAATCATTAACCAATCAAGAGGAAGTAGAATTACGTGCCAAGATTGAAGCCTTGGGATCGGAGGTTACTAAAGTCCCTTCAAAATCTGCGCAAGATCTTGATGAGGTAGTCTTTAAGGCCGTTTGCCAGCCAACTAAATGCTTTGAAGACAAGATTGATTGTTTCACAGCTCTCAGCAGTATAATTTGCCGGCATAATGCTTTTACTGTTTTATTCACCTCTGTTGGTTTATTGTGTTTTTATTTAGATTGAAATAGCAAAGGAGCTGGATAAACTGTCCTCAAAACTGGATGATGTTGACAAAATGATATCCTCAGATCCAGAGGTGCGATCTCTCCTGAGTAGTACAGCTGATGTGTGGATGCCAGTCATCACAGCAAATTCCAATGAAAGACGTAATTTTACAGCTACTTTTGCAGATGATAATCATGAAGTGCAAGGAAAAGATTCCAAATAGATTTGTAATTTAGATTGTTGTTTTAATATTTTGGTAGAAAATTGTACAACTCTTTGAGAAATTTTAATTTTATTAATTACCTTGTTAATAAGAATAGATAGTAAACATCCCCCATCCCACGAAGGGTTGTGACATGGTGCATTTCAATTTTCAGCAACGGGTATTACATGGTTCTTATTCTTGTTGCTTGGGCATTTCCATCCTTCAGAGAGAAGCCCCCTTTCCACACTCGGTTCACTTAATCATGCTTTTCGGCAACTTAAATCATGATGAATAAGCAAAATGACAAGAGCGATGGGTAAGCTGGGTAGGGAATGTTTTCCAATTTCACAAAAACAGATGAGGAATAGTAAAGGGTGATTGTTAAAGAGGGATTGAAGTGGCAGTGGTAGAGTTCTCTGTGTGATAATGGTAGCTCATATTCAATCTGATCTAGATCCCTGATGTTTTTGACCAGAAAAAATGGTGGCATCAAATGAGCACTGCTGAAGAAAAAAAAATTATCAGAACATGCTGAGAAGGTAGAGTAAAAGGGGGCTTTCATCAGTGGTCTGGTTGAAGAAGGAAGCTTTTGATGTTTCAATGCCAGCCAAAGTCTCCAGAGTGAATTGCATTACACTTTGCGAATATGAACAGTTTATTAAAGGGATTCTGTGATTTCATGCTTGGAAATAGAAAATATTGGATTCCAAAGCGATGGTCAAGAAAAGTGAACCTAGCTATTGAACAAAGTTGCCTACATAAAGTACAAATTTGATGTCATTTGGATGGAGGTGCGCGGACAAATAGACCAATGAGCCACAGTACAATAGATCCAATGATCCAACATAGAACGAAAAATACAAGAAAACCAGCCAAAATGGTCAGGAATGGAGGGCCTCGGGCAGTTTCGCCATTCTTCCTATCAGATCCTTCTGAGGGATTTGTCTTTGATGCACACGTAGGAAGTAACTTCTGCCCCAGTTTCAGTGTTACAGAATTCTTCAACCTGAATACAGTTACAATGTAGCTAGTTACTGCTTCTGCAATATGATCACATTTCGGAGAATATCAAGTAGACTAAAAGCATAGCAGGACACTTCTACAGAAAGCGAATTGAAAAACACTTGTGCGCCTTAGAAACAGTTTTTTCAAGTCCTCCACCTCTTTCATACAAAAAAAATACTTAACTATATACTTATTGGCTATCAATTAACATTATATGTTTAAATTGAAATATTCCAACTTTGCCCGAGAAATGGACCTGAAGAAACCGAAAAGAAGTGTGGAAGCTGCTAAATAGAACTGCTGTAAATCTACTATGAACCCTTGATACATAATAACTATGAGATAGTGTTACATAAATCCAACTCCTTGAATAACTCAAGAACACGCAATACAAACTCTTGAGTCGGCCACAGGCACAATGCGGCCACAATTTATTCAAAAATCATAGCGTTTAAAAGGATTGTTCGAGACACTCAAAATTTCGACAGCATCCCACAACACTTTCCATCTTAATTTTGTATACACTAGCATGCTTGATCATTTCAAAACCTCAGAACACAGCCTGTCAATTATAGATTGGGAGTGCATGAAACAGACTAATCAATTATCTAAAATAACCCAAGCTATTAATAACCTTCTCCATGGTATTTAATCCCAAAGTATAACCAATATTTTTGTTTCAGAATAATATACTCAGCATGAGAGAAGCAATATTTGGTATACATTGCATCAAAATTTGGCTCTCATTAGTTGTCTGCAGCTACTGCATAAGGTAATCCTCTGTTTCATTGTACCTCTACACAATGTTTCTTGAGGTAATTACTTGATTCTATAACTTAACAGCTAGGCGAAGTAGAAAGATAATTGACACATATCTGCAATCAGATATGAGGTCGAATGTATCACCTCATACATATCAAAACTGAGCTTAAGGGCTATTTACTGAAATATCACTTGTTTCATTCAAAATAAGAGAAAAATAATACAAGCCTTCCAAAAAAAATGGAAGTTGATGTCTTGAAAGTTGATTTTAAAGTCTGACTTATGAGAATCGACTTTAAGTGGACTTCCCAGAAATCCTTCCTACTCCAGGTTCTCAACAATAGCAGTGCTTCCCAGAAATTCATGCATTCCAGTCCGTCCTTTGCTATAAGAACGTGACCTAATCTATCTCTTCTCCAACAAGATGGCAGGAGAAAAATTGAAGTGCCAGATTCTTGAATAAATCTAAATCAGTTGGCATTTTTCGGTTTCTTTCCTCTTAAAGAAAGACAGATGGACCAATTAGGAGGTAGAGGAGAGACAATTTCCCTGGAGCCTCTGCTTTCATTTTTCCAAAAACTCAAGCCCAAGTGCCCAACCAGCTTAACCCCTCATCCTTAAAACCACATTTCCCACCATATAATCTAGCGAATTTATATGGTAACTTTAGGGTTAACAAATGCATCTTTTCACACTAAATCTCAGCTCTGAAAACACAGCAGCAACGCATACACAAAGCACAGGCCCACCAACTGGTTGATTTCGTCTAATCACAGTTTTTCTGTCAAAGATTACGCCTTTCCACTACATTCTCATATTGCACGTCAAATTTTCTGCCCATTTTCAACATGATTTTAACTAGTATCCTCATATTATATCCTACAAACAAATTTTTATTCTATTTATTTTTTTCCAAAAAAATTTGTAGTATACTAAAAAAAGCCTAAAACTTTCACAAGATATACATGCATCTATTTCTTGAAACACAATAAAATAACTAAAATAAAAACTACCCAAATGGCATCAAATCTTCCCAAGTAAATATATTTTAGAGTATTAGAGTGAAAGAAGTGCACCTGAAGTTGACATAGGTAGGTGGGGCATTTTGACAAAAATGGAGGAAATGGATGCAGGGAGCGGTATCGAATCTAACACTGGAGCAGTAGAAACCTGGAATAGATTTAGATAGTCGGGCAGAGCAATTCATTTTAGCAAAATAGATATGGAAAAATTTTGAGCTTGAAAAATCGGTGATGAGATAAATAATAATGATAATTTTATTTTTAAATAATGAATAAAATAATAAATTTTTTAACAAATAATAAAATATTAAAAATATATATGTAATTTTACTATTAATATATATTTATATAAAATTGAACTCAAATCGGCTCGCTAACTAACGAATTTAATATTTTTTAGTTTGATTTCGATTTGATCAACTTGATCTCGACTTGAGTTCAATGTTGACCGAACTCGAGTCAAACTCGGATTCGAGCTGCTCGTGATCGACTCATGAGTGATTTGATTTGTTTGCAACCTTATATTTGGATGAGTTAAATTTGCAATTTTTTATGATTTTGTGCACGTGTGTGTTTTTTTTTCTAGAGAAGAAGTTTAGTGAATTTGGATTTAATCATTTCAACAAGTCACGACGTGCCATACCATTCTTTGTAAGAAAGTAATCTGATTCATCCTTACTAATTCAACTAAAAGTTTACAACTAATTTATAACGAAAGACAATACTCATGAAGTAGGAAAATTATTTTGCAAGAAAGAAATGTATAAAATATTTAACTGACAATACAATATCCACATTAAATGAGAATCAAATAGGACGAGGTCAGAAGGGAAAAACTGATGTTTTAGTGATTTTTTGTGCGGAATTATTGTAATGGTCTTCACATTGTTTTTAAACTTGGACCTGACATGGCGGTCTGATTGGTCGAACCGAGAACCGGCCAACTGTCCGGTCCAAGTTATCCCTAAAACCTGAAAAATAAAAAATCGATCAAACCAGGTCAAAAACCAGGTTTGATCGGAAAAAATTGAAGAATCCGGGTCAAAGTTCTTTTTTTTGAAAGGCCAAAGCATTTTTAATATTATATTTTGACCCCTAAATTGTTAAAAATTATTAATATATCTCAAATATTTCATACTTTATAAATGTTGTCTTAAAGTTTGGTGTTATTTTTCAATTAAGTCCATAATTTTAATTCTAAACTTGTTAATGTTCATTAAATAATATAAATTGCTACTCGATTGTTCTAATTTCTTTGTATTTTCTTATTAAATATATTTGAAACATCAAATATGTTTCAAATATATATGAATATACCTTTATTAATATTAATAAACTCTTAGATATTTTACATATAATATTTTAATTTTTAAATACTTTTTATTTATGATGTCATCCGATTCAACTCCAATTGAACTTTGTCGAATTCATTGATCCTTGATCCTTGAGTTCGATCGAGTCGATTCCCGATCCAAGTTTGAAAACATATCTAGTCTTCACAGTCTAGGTTTGTGTCAGAGACAGAATCATTGCCCACTAGTCCTAACAGGCAAGCTGAGCTGTGAAAAACAGTAAACCGGCGCCTTTAACCTTTATGCATAAAAGCCACATTTCTATTCTAATTGTCCTTGAAATGTTATACAGCGCACCATGGAGCTGCTATCTTCAACACGCTAGCAAATTACACAACTTGGAGTAGAAACTTGCGTTTTTAATTGATCTAGACCACTAACACTTGGTTGAACTACATAAAATTTCGAAGAAAGTATAACCAACTGAACCATGCCTCAACAGCCACTCTCTGAGTTGTAGATCGGAGATTCGAATCTCACATACAATGAAAAAAATAAAAAAAAAATACCATAACACCTCTTTAATTTAGTCAAATCTGTATATCTACTAGCCCCTTAGACTTTCCTTACTATAGAATTGAATATATTAGGTTATACAAATATTATCGTTATAGAAAAAAAAAAAAAAAATCATTGAGACGACAGGATGGTTTTCAGTCGTCCAGCGCCTTGCCAACAGAAGCACTTTTACGCGAGAAACAGATAATTGCCAACCCTTCCTCAGTATACTGTTCATGCCCTCTTCAAATATGACTTTACAGATCCAAGGATGGAGGTAGAAGCAAACAATTACCAGCATTCACGATGCAAAAACTCTTTTAACAGATATATTTATTGAACGATGTAGCAATCCTTTCACATGAATAATCGATGGCGTGAACATGAAACTGGGAAGGGAAACAGACACCTAATGGCTATCTGGTCTCTACTAAAGCAAAGGAATTATATCGACAATGCAAAATTTGTTACAAATGTTCCCAATCGAATTAACAATCTGGCAGGAACCACAACCACGGAGACTCGGCCTTTCTCGAGCAAATGGTAATTTTCTAAATTAAGCCGCAGCTTTCTTGCAGTAATTCTCAAGCCACTCCATTGTAACACTTTTCGGCCTCTCAAGTGGCAATCCAAGGGCTCGGTCCCATATTAGCTAAATCAACAGTAAACCAGATGTTAATGCGTTAAAAAAGGTTTTAGTGAAATGGGATACCGAAGAAACGTAAGACGTAATGAAAAGTACCTGAGAGCAAATGCCAATAGCCCTTGACACACCAAAGAGAACCGTATAATACCTGCTCAGAATTTATTTGCAAACAAATATATATCAGAAAATTATAGATCCACATATAATTGGGACTATATACCACAGAACAAGCCAAGATCAGTGGAAAGAAAACTAATACCTTGCTTCAGTTAAACCGTAATGGTTCAGCAACACACCACTGTGGGCATCAACATTAGGCCAAGGATTTTTGACCTGAGAGGCCCAAATTCAGATTGAATTATATTAAGTGTTTAGGGACTATTTAAGCTGAAATATGGGGTCTTGGAAGCAAGACAAATGCTAATTTTCTGCCAAAGCTTCATCAAATAAAAATAGAAACAATGGCATGCAACCCAATTTGGTTGTCCAACAAAATATTACAGATAAAATGGATTACCATACGAATCTCAACCAAAATGAGCCCCCAGGTACTAATGGCTCTGGACAAATTCTTTCGTGATTATGTGCATTTAAGGATTAAGCGCTTTTAAGCAATCTACTGATTAGTAAGTTATCATTTTACCTTGCCAAGTTCTAACAGAATTGGAGGTACAACTTCATAAAGCTTCGACACCTGTACAAGGAATGAAGAAAACGTAAGTTTAGGCACTAAATATCATATTATGCATTGCAATAGAAAACCAATCCTAGATAATCACCAATTGGAATAGCGGATCATTAGGCAAGTGCTTCAATGCAAACTCTCTCTGGCATGTGTATCTTGGATCTGTTTTGCGCAAAACTCCATGTCCAAATCCGGGAACAACCTATGGTTTTCAACATGAGAGGATAAGGCACCATGCATGGAGCACCAAAACAAGTCCAATTCAAAAAGACGCCTTTGATTTCATATGGCTGGCATGGAAAAATTAAAAGGCTCTTCATAGACGCTTGAAAATTTTGTTTTAAACATAAATGCAGTGTTAAATTGATGCCCCATGCTCAATTTGCACTGGGTGCCACAATTCAATTTTGGTTCTTTGCACCTATTTCATGGGGACAAAATAAGGAAACTTCATAAAGGAACTGGTCAGAGAGATGCACCCACATGAATATGCACATATATGTGAGCCTGTATCTGCATCTGCACATACACACAGAAATATGCATGTGCACACACACACACGAGGACTGAAGTAAACCAACAAAAATGCACAAATATCATGACAATATAGTAATACCTTGCCACTGTTCAGTGTCTTCCAAACATAGTCTTTCAAATGTTCTTTGGTGATGTTCTCCCCACATTCTTCAACAACAGATTTAATCCACAGCAAAACTTCCTGAAATAATTCCAGATAGTGAGCAAACAAGGAAAATGTAAGCCTTAAATCAGATACGCAACAACAGCACACCGCTATAGATAGCAAAGGCAGATTAGATATACCTGTTATAACATGTTTCCCATGTTTCATCAGTTAGATGCAAAAGAACGCAAATAGTTTATCTTACTAATGAACAAAGTCAGAGCAATCTCTGCATGTAACTTGCTATGCAAAATATTGCCAAATACCAGTTTCTGTAATTAAGTTATTGTTATGTAATGAAATACAAAAATAAGATTTGATTAATATCACCTGATTGCCAATCAAAATGACGGACCTAGGGATTGAATTAATTTCAGATCCTACTCAATACAAGATAATATATTTCCGCAAACTGATAAGTCTAGGTCAGAGAAAGCACAGGGAGAAGCAACATCAATCAAGAACTCCCAGCAAGGATTTGGCTGTTCTTTCAAAGAATCAAATAGCTGCTCTCCATAAATTTTTAAGACTTTTCACAGTTTCCATAAGTTGTATGAAATGCAAGACATGATGATATAATTCCAGGACCAAAACACGAGCATGAATTCATGCAACATGAAGCCCAATGTCCAATTATAACAGAGTAACCTAAGGTAACTTACTTAAAACATTTTCTCATTATACGTGAATGCCATAGTAGCTAATAAACCAAATTTCCCAAGCATGCATAGAAGAAAACTGCAAAGATTTGCCTATCTAAGCTGATTTGCACAAGGAAAAAAGAGTGGCAAAAATTTATCGGGTATAATTAAAGGACAATGGAGTAGCAAACTTGCGCCCATGGGAATTACTGGTCATAAACCTCATCACATGTATAATCCTTCTCCAAGACGCAAGGAACACTAAAAAGAGGTGCAAAAGTTATCTCAAACAGAAAGAAAACAACAAAGGAAGAAGACAGCATACCTGATTCGCCAACCCATGGAGTGGTCCAGCTAAACCATTCAATGCAGCAGCAAATGACAGATAAGGATCTGAAAGGGCACTAGCAACCTGATTTATAGAGATGCTATAGTTAGAGGAGAAAATGAAAAAATGTATGATGCTTACACGACAAGGGGATTTAATTTTACGCACACACACACATATATATATTTATATTAGATGCACTTAATCAAATTTCAATCAAAAGTCCCAATGCACGTGCTGAAACCTTATTAAATTAAAAGTTCAATACTTTAGCATGCTTAATTGAGGATGAAATTCATTACCAGGTGACCAGTGTGAGCGCTAACGTTTCCACCTTCATGGTCACTGCAAGAGAGG